ACCGTTACTACTACTACCGTTACTACTACTACCGTTACTACTACTACTACCGTTACTACTACTACTACCGTTACTACTACTACTACCGTTACTACTACTACCGTTACTACTACTACCGTTACTACTACTACCGTTACTACTACTACTACCGTTACTACTACTACTACTGCTACTACTACTACTGCTACTACTGCTACTACTACTACTACTACTGCTACTACTGTTACTACTACTGCTACTGTACTGCTACTACTGCTACTACTGCTACTACTGTACTACTACTACTACTACTGTACTACTACTACTGTTACTACTGCTACTGTTACTACTACTACTACTGCTACTGTACTACTGCTACTACTGCTACTACTACGAGCATGAACATGAAAGGTATAGAGTCAGATTTTAAGTCTGATCTAATTCAGTCTGATAATAAACACAGCTGTAGTTCACATACAGATGTTGATATTTCCAGATGTTCTTCACTGAATCCTGACAACTTATTTGAAGTTATTACTTGTACTATGGTCAAGAGTGTCTATACTGATGATTTTAAACTTGTGTACAACTTCCAGTTCTACAGATTTAAATATTAAATTAGCATTTCTGCTGAGTGGTGGTTAACAGGCTGTGTGTCAAGTCATGGCCTGCGGCCCACACTGGCTGCAGCCCATGTGGGCCGTAGGCCTCTGCTGTCGGCTGCATAAACTCAGCATCACTTCATCACATCCTGTTTTCATAGAAAAACCTTAGTAAATACATAAAAAACATGAATAATTTGAGTTTCAGCAGTGAAGGACATTCACACAGGATTGTGTGATTCTCAGTGATTGTGTGATTATCAGTGATTGTGTGATTCTCAGTGATTGTGTGATTCTCAGGGGTTGTGTGATTCTCAGGGGTTGTGTGATTCTCAGGGGTTGTGTGATTCTCAGTGATTGTGTGATTATCAGGACTGTGTGATTCTCAGTGATTGTGTGATTCTCAGTGATTGTGTGATTCTCAGTGATTGTGTGATTATCAGTGATTGTGTGATTCTCAGGGGTTGTGTGATTCTCAGGGGTTGTGTGATTCTCAGTGATTGTGTGATTCTTTGATTATCAGGACTGTGTGATTCTCAGTGATTGTGTGATTCTCAGTGATTGTGTGATTCTCAGTGATTGTGTGATTCTCAGTGATTGTGTGATTCTCAGGGGTTGTGTGATTCTCAGGGGTTGTGTGATTCTCAGGGGTTGTGTGATTATCAGTGATTGTGTGATTATCAGTGATTGTGTGATTATCAGGACTGTGTGATTCTCAGTGATTGTGTGATTCTCAGGGGTTGTGTGATTCTCAGGGGTTGTGTGATTATCAGGGGTTGTGTGATTATCAGGGGTTGTGTGATTATCAGTGATTGTGTGATTATCAGGACTGTGTACGCTGCAGGACTCAGGGCAGCAGTTTCTGTGAATTCCTGCTGTTTTCTGAATAAACCAGGTGATACTGGTAACCTGATACCTGCAGCCAGTTCAAATGAATGGATGATGAATTTATGACATCACAACCACACTAACTCATGCTACAGACTGTCATCAGAACCCTGTGGTTCTGTCAGGTCCAGTGTTTCTCTTCACCCACCATGCCCTCCAGAACCTTTCCAAACACTACATGTTTGCCATCCAGCCAGGGGGTCTGCACAGTGGTGATGAAGAACTGGGAGCCGTTGGTGTCCTTCCCAGCGTTGGCCATGCTGAGCCAGCCAGGCCCGTAGTGCTTCAGCTTGAAGTTCTCATCAGGGAAACGGTCCCCGTAGATGCTCTTCCCTTCAGCACCAGAGACAGAAACATGTTAGAGAGGTTCAACACTTCAGTGTAAACAGCAGGTTAGAGACAGAAGCTTTAACACTTCAGTGTAAACAGCAGGTTAGAGACAGAAGCTTTAACACTTCAGTGTAAACAGCAGGTTAGAGACAGGCTTAGCACTTCAGTGTAAACAGCAGGTTACAGACAGAAGGTTTAACACTTCAGTGTAAACAGCAGGTTACAGACAGAAGGTTTAACACTTCAGTGT